TCATCACCCACAGCAAGGCTGCGCGAAGAGGGCACCACCTGGCAAACTGTCCTTTTACATATGAATCACATGGCATATCCGGCGTAACCTGTGGATTGTGACCAGCTGGTTTGTCGGGGAAGAATGGACAGGAAATACTCCTGCTCACTTCATCATCACCAGACTCGCGCAGTGCTTCAGAGGCACTTGTGGTCAAACAAAGTATTTTCGGTCTCCCACACAGCGCTGCATCTGGTCCATAAAGTAGGACAGACCAGACCGCAACATGTACACTTTATCTTTGATAGTCAAGCTGATGTCACATCGGCACCACAAATGTCAGACTTATCTCGACTTGCCATGCCACTTGAAGGAATCGCAACGGCTGAGACGTTCGTTTGAAAAACCTCCTGCTGGAAATTCGGGCGGAACACTTTGATGAACAGTCTAGTTGGCCTCACGACGCAACTCCTTGCGCTGGTACATACATCTGAACGCAGTGTAAACTTTGAGTGGCCGTCAAGGGAAGAAACAGTACGGGTCGACCAGTTCGAATCTGAAAATGTGGCAGGTTCTGAGAGGTCGTATGTAGCCATCTTAAAAAAAGTGGTAAAAATCTGGAAGCCTATCTGATAAAGCATCTTGTTGCTATATGGAGTGGAGAAAAATAACATACTGGTTGGGGTGACCTGAAGTTTATTTCCATGTTCAAAACAGTAAGTAAACCCTCACCGAAGAAATCACGGCATTAATTTGTTTGCAGTAGCATCCGGTGTCCTTTACGGTCTTATCAATTTCAGGTTGACCGAACATAGTAGTGGAAAATCTGTGAAAATCAGGCTGAATCACTTCCTACCTAGAGGGTTTGTTGATCACATCTCCATTCTTCAATAGAATCTAGAACAATGATACCGCGTCCAGATGTTAACGGTGGTAATCGCTATTGGCTTGAAAACCACTTGTGGCTCTGCCGACCATTGGACACTACTTTGTGTAACTCGCAGTAGTGGTTTACAGTGAAAGGGAGACCTTATAGTCAAAAACCCTCTCTTAGAATGATAGACATAAAAAATTTTAAAGCATGGCATGAAGCAACACTACCACCATTTCTTGATCATCCTCAAAGTTCTGTAGGCTGACGCCCATGTATGTATGGCAGTCTGTGTTTCGCTGGTGTCGGAGTCCACTAAAACCACTGGTTTTTGGGCAACCGTTTCCTGTATCCTTCTCCCCCCTCCAACCTTTTCATTTATGTGAACATGGGAGACTCGCTCCCCCGCCCTATCTTTTATAGGGCAGTGATGCTCTCAAAGCATTTGCTAATGCATTAACAAATGTATACATGTATATGGAGCACGTACACATCTTTTTTGGATATGACCCCATTGGTATGCGAAAGGTATAAATTTCTGATACAAGGATGGGTAGGATTAACCTCGAAGCCCATGCTTCCGGGTTAATCGATTGGAACGGTACATGAATTAGCTTGTCCAAATACTTATTTCAGTTCCTGGTATCCGGCTGAAGACGATAATACTAACCGAGTGGGGATGGCTGGAGCAGTTTTTATCAATCAGCATCAATGTCGTGGACACAGCGTCAGCTTATCTACCACAAGTTCTGTAGTGGAGCTAGGTGATGGTTTTCACAGTTAGATTGTCACGTGGGTCAGGAATCTCGCGGGTGCTAGCTGTTGACGTCAAAATCTTATGTTGTTTGAAAATCTGTCTTCGGAGCATTACCTAAGTGTAGCGAAAATGCCGAAGGACACCCAGCGGACTTGATGGTGGTACTTGATTCGCTATTCTGGCTTGATTACTGCTTTGCGTGCCCTTTAATCGATTTCCTCGGAACTTTTTCTTCGCACAACCATCCGGAAGGTCTACGCGGATCGGAGGAGTCGCGCACTTACCTAGCAGCGACGTGTCGGGGCTATTATTTGGGAACCTCACTATGAAAAAAAGCTGGCGGGAAAGGGAGCTAGTGCCCTTCTACCCTTATCGCTCCGAGATTCCTACACCCAAACACTCATCCAGACCCTCTGCATGGAAACTGATAACAACACTACCACAATTAGCAGTCATATCTCTTACTGTGGACGCGTCCCTTGTTGGAGATGGCTGCACCGGTTCGATCCTTGATCCTGGTCCTTCATTTTGAGGGTTGGAAACTGCGTGTCGACATGCTATTTTTCAAAATGTAATGCAGTAACATTTCCCACCAAACACCGCCGCCATGCGATGGGGCTTTTCACCCGAAGGCTTTGGATGATGACCCTAGCCATCCTCATCTCTAGACTGTGGTGCCTAGCCCGCGCAAGACCGTGATTCCTACATTCAGTCGAGCCGTCTCGCTGTCATGTCAAACACTTGACTGGTGTTCACGGTCTACTGTTTTTCACGATTTTGGGCCAAACCTTTCTATCCCTTCCTTCCTTTAGGGAACCGGTCCTTACCTCTCCCATTGAAAATTGAAATGCTGATCGCCTTCATACTTGTCGATGACTTTACTCCCAGAGCGCTCCGTGATTCGATATGGTGACTGGTCGCTCTTTTCTCGTCTGTCTCAGTTATTATGGCATGTTTCATCATCATCAACGTTATTGGCAGCGTGATATCAGTGTTCAACACTGGTGCTTAACTGCCGTGAAATGTTCAAATCTTAAGTACCCATATTTCATTCAGTATAGCTCGCTGGAGGACCCGCACGTCGAGTCCAAGGCAATTACTCGGGGGTTGTGAGTTTACACACTGTGAGTTCGGCATCGAATCAGAAGTCCCAGGAACGCAACGCACCGCCAGGCTGCCTACGGTCCGCATCGGAGCGTATTATATCGACAGCAGATCAAACCCATGGCGTGCGAACTTCTGCAGGATACATCAAGCGCCAGTTCTACTGGCGACCTCAAATAGGTAGGTTGACGGTAGCTGATACTCTTGTACCACCTACGACGACCGCGTGTCTCTGACCGATTCCGACCTAAGGGTACCATGGATAGATAGGGAGACAGAAGCGCCACTCCACCGATGAAATCGCTCATTGACAGCATTAAACAGTGTATCCATGAATGTTGATGTCGTCGGTGATTGTTCAGTTGTAGCACCCGTTCAGCTCCTAGCTTCCATGCCACTCGAAGGGAGCACGAGGGCTGGCATACTGCCAAGTTGCGCAAGCCTAGAGAGGAGAAATCGAGGCACGTAAGTTCGGTTCAAACCACACATCTTCCGGCCAGCAATTCGCGCTCTAACCACTGCGCCACCTCGTCCCTTGATTCCCTCTCTGTCGATGTATGTTGCCTCCGAAACACGCATACAAGACGCCGCTTTGGTTGTACACCACGATCCGCTCAGGACGAGCTCAAATGTCCTACATTTCACTCTCCGCGCGTCTGGTGATCCTGGCGCAATGGCTCATGGTATGTATGGCGTGGGAGTTGTACTCATCCCCAAGGCTGAATACGCTTTACTGGACTGGATCCCAGTAAACAGTCGTCTTTTTGCTTTGCGGTTGTCTGGTTCAATTTAGATCAATGCTGTTCAACGCTCGCGGCCCGACTTACTGCAGTTCGGAGACTGTAAAGAACAGGTTCTATCGAATATGTCACGTCTGCTTCGGTCAGTTAGAATGACGGATATAGTAATCCTGACGGGTGATATGAATGGACAAGGCTGGAGGAAACAATTAAGGAGTAGGTCTGGAATCGGTAATCCGTTCACGGATAATGGGGAGCGACTGCTTCATTTGCGTCCCGATCATTGTTTTGGCTAGAACGAACTTCCAGCACAAGCGCTTACTTGGAGGCCACCAACTGCAAGATATTGGTTGACTCGGTTGAAGCACGTGGGTATCAGTTACCGATGGAGAGCATCAACTTGGGTTTGATCTTGCCTTTGTGGGGGCCCGGTTATCACTCCGCTTTCCCTCAGCAATACCGATGTCAAGAGAGAACAACTCCATTCATCAAGTTCGACGAGTTTCGGTAGCTCAAGAGTATCAGAAGCTACTGGAAACGCACAGTCACACGGATGACGAAGATTCCTTGGAGTTTGAATGAAGGTGAGTTTAAGAGGCTGTGGAACTCGAGATGGCTCAGTGGTTAAAGCGCGAATTCACTGACCGGAAGATAATTTGTGACGTGGTAGAGTTGAATAAGTCCGTCGCATATCAGCACTAACATGACAAATTTAGTTTCTACAACTTACCGTCACGTGTATTTGTCAGTGTAGTGGTCTCGTCCATTCCTTTCTTCGAACGAACAAACTGCTTCAAATCGAGTAGTGGGCATATCCAAATGTTAGCTTCCGTCCTTCAAGTATTTTCAGTTTGCGCCAGCGATTGTCGGATCCCGTGATTATTATTCGGAATTTGTTTATTGGCACAAGTGTACGCTCCATAGTACCTCAGATTAGACGGTTACAGTTTTGTGGATCCCTCCTTTGATCTGACCAGGGCCTCGTCGTGGTTATGCAAGGTTATCCACTCTCTGACGAATTTGCCCCACATGAAATGAACTATTCCACTGCATACTCGCTGATGCTCTTGGGGATGACCGGACGCATGTATTTTCCCACATCTTCTGAAGTCACAACCGAGGTTGACTATTCTCTATTTAATTACGTCGGTTCTGAAAGCTTAAGATGGGCTTCCTGTGGGTCGTCATTCTCTTGGCTTTGTTTGCCGAAGGTTTTTCATTTTACTGCACATATGTATGATGATTTTCGAAATACAGGCTCTCTGTGCAACTTTATCAGAGGGTTCGTCTCTGGAGACGAACCCTGTTTGAGGGGGACAAATTGAATGACCACTGTATGCATAAATTATGATACAGTAGCCTACTCAAATCACCACTGGACGATATTGCAGCTGCTACAACCCTTGTACGACATGCACGTGGTTCTTACAGCTGATAATGATGGTGATGGCATTAGCACTCCGTAATTTAAGGGCATCAATACTACTGTCAGTACCATCGCAATTATTTCACCGCTAACGATGGTCATCTGGGTTGATAAGAACGTTGTAAAATATCTTCGTTTCTTCAGTAATCTGTATTCATTTTAATTTAAAGTGCTTTTTCATATCGAGTTATTTTAATTCCCAGCTGTTGCATCCTGGTTCATTCAGTACAACCTAACCATGGATAATAGGAGGCGCAACAAACAGTGCAACGTCTGTGGAGATGCCGCGATGGGTTTTAATTTCGGCGCGGTGACATGTGAATCTTGCAAAGCGTTCTTCAGGCGTACTGCTCGGAAGGCACAGGTCTGTCAATTTTTTTCCAGGGTTACTCTGTTATGTATTGACCAGTGGAGTTCTATTTCCGGCTGTCATATACATTATATGAGAACACACTATCACTGCACACTGTCGAGCAGGTTGCAGGAAGGCGCCATAGATTTACAGGGAATACTTTCCGTTTCTTGTACTTGCGTGACTATTCAGAATGCATACTCCTGAACATAGCTTGTAGAACCCTGAGTTGGCTGGCTTACAGGGGCAATCGGTTTTCTGAAGAAAACGAATCAGATTTGCAGGGTTGCGCTTCCAGTTTTCGACGAAATCATCTTGTGAATGATTTTTCATGCGTGGCTGATACTTATAACCTTAATCTTACTTTTTATCCCATCAGGTGGCTAATTGCGTGTTCAATGAAAAGTGTACAATCACTGTTGCGACTAGGAGATTTTGTTCTCACTGTCGTTTGAAGAAGTGCTTTGCTGCGGGTATGAAGAGCAGCCTCATTCTGGGTAAGCTTTTTAGCTCATTGGTTTGATATTCTTTCTTACAACTACGTTGTCCTTCCCCTAGAGCAGCTTTCTTTAATAACCGTCTTTCCACCAACAGTCAATTTCCACATAACTTGGCCAGATATTCCGTCTGCTAAAATGGTCCACGCTGACTACCCCCCAACCAATGAAGACTTTTGTAAAACTTCAAAAATTCTATGGGTGATCAATTTTGCAACTCGCGTTTTCATTACGATGACGAACGCCATTATTCACTCGCTTCACTGTTTTTTTTTACGTTTCTGCCTGTCATTTAATCTCGTGACCATTCTGCTTAGCTTGGCACCACGTTCCGGCGTATGGATAGCGCGATGGTGCTTAAGTGCGCGCGTACCAAAAGCGGGTTCAGTGGATATGAACTTCTGTATATCTGCTTTTTTGTATCATCCACACGGCTCCTTAAAATACTACGTTTGGCTTAGGTGTGGATACCGTATCGGATGCACATGATAAGCTATCATTATTTTTCCCCACAGGCTGATGAATAGCATAGTTGCCGGCAACTACGTATTATTACAGCTTCACCCATTCTGTATGCAGGTAATAATTTTAGGGCGACTGGTTGACGGCTATTCATGTTCCATTGTCGTCATTTGGTGTCAGATCAAGCCGGTTGTATCGTGCAGAAAAATGTGGCTGAAAAAAATACACCGTAGACCATCGCTCATTTTCGCAACTCCAGCATACTACTTGTGCAATGTGCGGAAGGATAAAGTACTTAATGGTGAAATTAGGGGACTCTAATCCACTGGACGTACAGTCTGTGTGTTGCCCTGAGAGATTTTCAAAATTCATGATGACTTATTTGAATTTCAGAGCAGGAACTACTCCATTGAGGACCACTAGCTCTTCTTTTTATTATTCCCTTTCTTCACCGCATAAGGCTATAATAAACGGATCCTACCTGAAGAGTTGTTTCACACTCCGAGAATGGGGAATATATAATGCTACACACTTGTTTATTTGTTGGCTGTGTCACGTTTCTCCTCCAATTTACTTTCTAGGTCTTCCTGTACATTCTTCCGAGTCTGTCTACAATTCCAGAGGACTGTCAGCAATCTGCACATGATTTCCTGTCCATTAGTTTTCTCCCCATTCTTTACAATATTTACTGGTTGCTTTGAGTATTCATCGTTTTGATGTGTGCTACAAGTGCCACTTATCAGAATGCCCTTAAAATGGTTTACTTTAGCACAGTTCACATAAACTGTTTTAAGGAGTAGTCCGAACGTTCAACCCTACAGTGAAATCAGTGATGGTGGCCCACTTATTTAGTAGCTCACTAATGATTTTTGTCATTTTTTCGCTGCTTTCCTCCTATAAGATGACAAGGCCAAGCAAGAGCGTCACGAAAAAATTGCCAAGAATCGCCAAGCGCGCACAGATCCATTGTATCCTATCTCCAAACCTGGTTTGGACACCAAAACGGCAGTCGCAAGCAATTCTGGTAACCTATTCCTACAAGACGCAAACACCGGAGAGACCGCCACGGATTCTTCAACCAGTGCCGTAGAAACTTTCGAGCGTCTGCTTTCCCCAGATGCTCAAGAACCGAACGCGCTTTCGTCCAACATGTCATACACGAATGATCAGTGGCGAACATTTCTGGAAATCCCGGTTGGTTCCTGTTTTTCTGGATACGTACTTTTCATACATCTAATTGACTAGTCAGTTCCGGAGTGGCTTGCATCTTTCTCTCAGTTTCTTAACTTACTACGCAGACACTTCGTTTCCGTCCCCATTAGGTGAGTTTTAATGCTGTCTGTCTGCATAAACTCGTGATAAAGTTTAGTTTTTTGTCAATGAGAAAGGGGAAATATGCCATTCAACGCTCTAGTGACGTTGATCCAGTGATGTTGATCCGCGTTCGGCTAGTTTTTAATGAACCTCGTAAATTTACAAGTTAGGTTGGACTCTGTCAGAAGGTCCATTGGGTAAAGTTACGAGTAACACAGTACAATACTGGAACGCTTTGGCAAGTCCTGCCGGATCGTTTTTCAGTGTGTTGACTTCTTACAGGTGCTTGCAAAGACCGAATTGTGGTTAATAGAAAATTGCTGTAGACCAAATGGATGTACTTCTCCAAATGATGTCTCACCATGCTTACTACTATCTGTCTTTCTCATTCTTGTGTTCTTATCCATGGGTCATCTCACTTCAGATTTTAATGGGGGCAAAACTTTTCAAGCTGATTGAGTTTATGAAAACCTTCCTTTCGTCCGTAAACTTTTCTATTAAGTAATCTGAGAAAACTTAGGAGACCCGAACATCATCGTCATTGACAGCAACACCGGATGAGAAAATTGACATCCGTACAAAGACCATTCGATCGTTTTTGTAGTTATCACATACCGGAATAGAAAGCAGCTACACAAGTGATGTACCTAACCTCACCGCGGGCAGTAAAGTGCTTCTAATATTGATTTAGGACAGAACATGTTTTGCAGCACGATGGCATCGACAATAACCATACCGTTATTTGCCATTCTAATGATCCTGACTCTAACTTTGTGTGACCTTTTACCCACCTACATGATTTAGATTTCGGACACATTTTTGATGACTTTTATCTGTGTGGTTATGACTGATCCCGTAAGGATTTTACAGTGGACTTGGAAATGCATCTTCCGGTGGATCATGCCACCCAGCCGGTCATAAAGAATAATTGAGGAACTGATCAAAGCAAAGGAGCAAAACGTTCGATAGTTGCTTGACCTTGTGTCGCCATGAGTGAATGAGAATCAGCACACACAGACCTCCGCAGTCAGTCCGTCTTTTTTTAGATGCAACTGAAGTGTGGGCATCGAGTTATTGATTGTAAGTAGATCGCTCGGGGAGGCAATCCGTTTGACCTAACGTGACGCATTTTGCAAATCCACTTCAATATTATATATATATATATATATATATATATATATATGTGTATATATATGGAGGTATTGAGTTCCATGTCTTTCAGTGGTCCGTTTGACCTAACGTGACGCATTTTGCAAATCCACTTCAATATTATATATATATATATATATATATATGTGTATATAAATGGAAGTATTGAGTTCCATGACTTTCAGTTGGCGGCCTTAATACATCGAAGTTTCAGTAGAAAGTGACACAATCACGGCAACCCCACTTCATTTTTTTTCTGGCCTAAGCACAAATGTATGGTTTACTAAGTCTTTCTTTCTTCAATCTTTGTAGACGGAAGCTGACGCTTCTCATGTGTCGGACATGAATGACCGCTTGTGTACGTTCCCTAGAGTCATATTTACATATTCACTCATGTTTTCACTGTCTCGCTTGTATGGTGAATTCTCACCCGTGTAGGTTTCCTTCGAAAATCTTAGTCGCCGTTTCATGAACGGAACAGATGAATTGGTCAGCTAACTCCCCGACAATATTGCACCTCTGGCGTTAATTTCAACTCCTTTCCAAGATATTGATGATCTGTATTTCTCCCGTATGAGGCGATTTTAATAGTGCCATGATTCGGCAGTTGGGTGGATGTTTGCATGTAGTGACGCTTCAGAATTATTTTGGTTGGATATTTTTGCCATCACCATTTTAGAGTGAACCTTTAGTTTTAGGACTGGCTACCCCAGAGTACTAACACCAGCCTGTCACAGAGAATGGCGAGCAATCTGTCATATCGTTCCTAGGGCAGGTGCTTTGGAGATAACTAAAAGGTTGTTACTGGCAGACACGACACTTAAGGGACGGCCGCAGCTCTAGGTGGATGGAATAGTTGAGGGCATAAGAGTGTGTTTGAATCTCGATCAGTCTGTTTTTGACACAACTATTTGCTCACAAGAACAGGGTCTTGCAATGGGATCTCCAATATTCCCAGCTTATTTGGAGGACTTTGAACAAACGGCCTTGGCCGGATATCTTTGTCCATCGAAAGTTTTTTGGCGTTATGTTGACGATACCTATATTGTAATCAAGTGGGATAACTGACGATGTCAGTAATTTAGCATGGAAATAGAGTCCACCTCGAGCACATTACCCTTCCTGGATTGCATAACACGTAAGAGTGGTGGACACGATCCAGCTAATTCACATTGTACATTATGCCAAGCAGGGTGTCCTTGTGGATAGCTGGCTGTGGCAAGATGGATGAAAAAGAAAAAAACTAAGGTGACAAGTGGGCAAATCAAACCAGGGATATTAGTAGCGAAACACATTGGACTCTGTACAAATGGGATACATCTACTAGTAAAATCAGTAAAGCACAGAGTCAATCAAGGAACAGCTCAATTTAATAGTATCTATAGGAAACTGAGTGTGAGGGAACACAAACGATGTTCCAAGTCGGGAGCTTTCAGTGACGAACCACAACAGCGATGCCTGTCACATAACAAGTGGACGACCGCAAATGACTACAGTCGGAAGACCTGGGCCTAGTTGCAAGTGTCTTTTGCACATGCTGTAAGTGAACGTTCCCCAATAAGCGAATTGCTGAGCACAATCGTGAATTCTTTGTGTTCTATTGGAACTGTACCGTTATCTCAGTCAACGTAACGTTTTCCGCCCGACTGTGTTTTGCAAAAGGCTGATATCTTGAGATAGATCAGCTTGCGGAGACCACAGTTCAGCTTTTACCCCGAATGTTCACTTCTTGATATTTCTCCCAGCAATCAATGTTTATATTCCTTCAGCACTATGGACATTTTGTGACTAATTTGATTGGTAAATTTTTCTGTAAAATCATCCTCGATGCGTAGAGTCCGCCGTCCGATCTATCGAACTTCTAGCCCATCAGTAAGCCAGTTGTCAATTCACGCTGCTTATTATGATGCACCACTCGGACGATCCATCTTGTTCATTCTCTTGTCAGCTTGCACACATATAGTCGGTAGTCTTCTAGTGGGAGCACTGAATTCCCTCAGACAACCCACGACCAGTTTTGCCTTTCTTGGAACCGATCAGATGTTCACAGTTCCCGAGTTTCCCGCAATCTTACGTTCTTGAAGCTAACTTGTTTGATCCTCACAAAAAACAAATTCGTACTCCCGCAAAAGCCTAATCGGTGTACGAATGAATATAGTTCGATAGCGCTTTGTTTGAAGAGTCTATTCACTGTTCTGTGGAACTGTCCGATCCGGTCGAGTTTAGTGTCAACGTTCAATCCTTCAGCCCTTGTTACTGACCAATTCACGCATTTCCTATTCTTCTTCCGTTCCATCAGACTGTAGGAACAGTCAGTCATCCGCGTCCTCCTCCTTCACTTCTGGCGACTACCTCCAGGAACAGACTTCCACGGCTGCAGCCAATACTACTGCCCCCGGTGTAGTTCATACTGCACCTACCCCGGTGCTTTCCTGCTTCTCCGATAATGTACGTAAGTGCAACTGGTGTTCATGGTAGAATCTTTCAGTTTTGCTCCGCACTGTTTTAGTACTGTTGTCCCTTTTGTTTGTATGTGAATTTGTTTCAGTGTTATCTGACGGTTCCCTTTTTATCCTAACACGAGTATCCTGGTTAGCGAAAATCAGTGTATGAGCACTAGGCAGTCGAAATCGACAGCCACTCTGCCAAATTGGATTATTCTACCTTAATTTTTACTCGGCAATGGCCAGCGAGTCAATCAATACCTGTTTCTTCCTTGTCGTTGCTTACACTTTCTATCATCTCTTAGTAGCGGAACAACGGAGTAGCCACAAGTGCTATCCATTAACTTGCAGTGTCACAGTGACTAGCTTTTAAGGCCAATGAGCCTTTATCCACGTTTTTTCTCATTTACTCAGTCAGCCTTAGGTATTGACTGGAGGAAGTCTTTTGCGCAACTGGTGTATTTATTTCCTTCGGAAGAATAGTAGCGAATTCATCCTCTAGCTTGGAATTTCCAGACTAAAGTGTTATTCACCTAGGTCTCCAGTCAACCTTGTTTGTTGCGTATGGCTCACAGATCACCGCAGTGTCTAACTCCAAGAAGTCAGTGATTTTCCCGCATACATCACAAGCCGCAAAGTAGATGAAAATTCGTCGATCTGACCCCATCTAGGAAAATGAAGTCGCCAACGTTCCGTTAGTCTTCTTTCGCACTATGTCATAACATGGACGCGTGTGGATTAAGCACTCATTTGCAAGAAATCCTACTATGGATTTTACACAGCATCGTCATCGACAGCTGACATCAGTGTTCAACACCGATGCCTCACTGCCGTACCTGTACTTTTACGCACCGACCTCAGCTGATTATTATTAAAAACGAGGGACTCATTTAAATCTCATGGTAATAGTATCCCCGCTTTTGAAATCAGTTTTCCCCTTAAGACTTCCGATTTATGCACCAAAGCAAACAAGAAACTAGCTCACTTAGAAGGGGCGAAACCGATAGTGAGGGGTGTTGGCGAGTTTTTCTCAACCTTTTGAGCAGTACTCAACGAAAGATAATCAATCATCCTCATTTTGTTTATGTCGCTCTGCCTTGTATGACTCCACTCACTATTCCTGCCTCTGCGTCCTGTCTAGCATGGGTATCCACTGATCGTTGTGGCACTTGCGGTATGAAAGTACCCTCGTTGTACGACTAACGATCGCGTACAACTTGATCAAGCCGTGCACCAGAATCCATGAATTTCGTTTAGTTCGTGCACGAGGCAAGTGCGTGATGCTACCTTGCGCATCGTCACCGAATATAAGTATTCCATTGTGGAAAGTCAGACCTGTTCTACTCGATAACACCACCAATGCAATTCACATGACGATTAGAATTTTAATTGGCCTACAGTGATAGCCGTAGGATGGGATGCCACTTATCCAGCTACATTTTTTGCGACAAACACCGTTTTGTAAATTACCATAGTGAGTTCTTACTGTCTGTGAGAAAGCCCTACGATGTCGACATAACTTCGTCGAATTTGTGTATACCATCAATACTTTAATACTACTTATGAGGCGAAAATAAATGTATATTAAATGTCGATCCAATGGTACTCGGCACTTCCCGCACACGATTCAGCTTGCGATCGGCTGCTTTCACCTCCTGTGACTGAGCAGCTCCCGCCCACTTTACTGAAGCTGTTTGGGGAATGTACTGAAGCGGTTAGTCGTAGCCAGCCCGAATGTAGTTAACTAACACTACGTAGGGTGAAATTTCCCCACCCCTCATCCGTGTACACATAACGGGCGCCGTGCGAAGAGTGCACTGTCCTTCAATTGAAGTATAGTCACACGGTCGCGCTCAGCTCACATAACTGGCAGTTGGTTGAACCAAGCACTTCTCACTGAACGGACACGTTTCATGCAGTTGTTCCTATGATGTACCCATAGTCCGATTTTCAGATTGATGTTTGGCGAACAGTTGAGCCCTCCCCTCTTACGGAAAGAAACTAAAGGCTTATATAAGGATAAACCCTTAAGCAAATACCCTTGTGAGTAGTATTGGGTAAAGAAAAATGCTTTGCTACCTTGAATATTGTTCCAGCCGAGGCATGGGGCTACATTTGTGTATTAGGACGTGAGAATAAGCTAATATTCATTCGGGTTTTCCGCTAAAACAAAATCAGGTTGCAGATGAGCCCCGAACATTGCTTGAGTACAAGTATTTGTCACCCTGGTGGGTCTCAACAAGGGTGAAACCGGTAGTGAACTGTCGAAGAGTTTTCAGGAACGCTGTAATTAGTGTTTGTTTGCTTGTTGTTTGAGGTTTAGTTCACTGTAGATTACCGTTAGAACTGATTGCTCTGTATTAAATGAGTTCGGTTCTATGGTCTTAGTTGTGCATAAATTGCGTCCAATTCCGTTTGGTATCTTTGGCTGTTACTACCACCGACGTAACTGTCTGGACCCAGAGAGCGAAGAGTTCAGCACGCTAATGCTCCTCATGTCGGCAGTTTCGAGTAGTCCAACGGGATACGTTCCTCTGAATGCAACACGTTCGATCATCTGAGTCTCTTTGGTCTGTGGGTCGCACTTCGCTCTTGGATCTAACGGTTTGTAGAAACTGGACGGATATATCTATCAGGCTCTTCTCACCTCACATTTCTAGGTTTTGCTTAGGTTAATCAACGATTGGTTCCGGTATCCCTAACTTGGTTGAAGACATTCTCACTAATAGGTCCCATCGATTGTCGGTTGTAACGACACATAGTCAGGTGTACTACCCTTAAACTAAAACGAAGTCTACGTGCTACCGAGATGCCTCATCATTCGCCACAGGTTGACAGGTTGACGATGTTTCTCCTCCGCTAGGGCATTTGACTGAGACGGTTTTGTTGTGTGCCTTCGTTTCGCAATCTCGTTATAACGGTATCAAACCTCTGTAAGGCTTCCAGCATAAACCAGTATTCTTTTCCTACTCTCCCACGTATGTCAAGCATGGTTTGTCTGTTTGCAATTATCCGCTCACTGAATCGGGTCATTTATGTTGCGATCCAGGGCTTGTTACTGGACTACTTAGGTTCCTCATTTGAAAAGCTGCAGCTCTATGTCGTCACACCCATGGTGAATCACACTGGTCACTTTTCTGGTATAGGACTTAGTGTATTTCTTGTAGGCATACCGCAACTTTGGGTTTTGTTGTCAGTCATACTGAGGTAACCACCAAACGCGGCAGCGCCTTCTATGTCTCCTGACCTCTGGAAACTATAGCCGAACTTTTTTTATGAAGAAAGGTACTCACAAGTTTGCTGAAAACTCTTCGACATCTGAATTTTTGGACAGCGTCGCCTGTTTTTCAGAAGAATGGTGGTAGAGATGTGGTTGGCAGACCCTTTCCCCCTCTCTACTGTTGGACCTCCGCTACAGGGATCGTGAAGTAGACAAAATACTTTGAAATGTTATTTCATTAACTTGGAAAGTTCAGTTAACTAGGTATTTCTCCTGAACTCAGTTATATTATTTCACTCTAGAGACGGTCGACTTTTTCGGCTGTCTTGTAATGAGACCTTCGAAGACTCCCTCCAGTTTATCCCATTGCAAATGCTGAATTTGGTTACAGAATCCTTCAGCTGATGGCCATCTTTCGAAATGATATATACTCAAACCCTGACCCTCATTTTACATGGCTGCTATGAATATTTGCATTCTTAAACAAACAGGACAATAGACTATCGAAATACACTCATTTGCAAACAAAGCTGGTTTTGCGAGAGACTCGTCTGGAACCCAGCTTAATCTCTCGTTTATGATATTTCCAAGCAGGCTATCGAAGAATTTTCAGTAACCTTATGAGTAGTGCTAGACAATAGACTATTCTTGTTCACGTGGAGGACTTGCTTTGTACGGATGTGTGTTGTGTATCCAAAACGAGAATCGAAGTTGCGAGCACGGTGGACTTTATTCCAAACAGATATCCGGCACCTTGTTGAACCGAATGAAATGAGGGAATAGGCAAAGGCCTATTGACTTTTTCGTTTGTCATTTCGCGTATAATTTAGATAGAACACAGTATACTATGTCGGCTCGTAAGAAATACCGAAAATGACGAAAAACTGCCCTCAGTGATATGATAACACGGTCAACAACACGATCAGCTGCTTTATATCTCTTTATAAAATAGTCAGAAGGCCAGCTTTCTGACAAATGCCATTTCAGGCCATCGTAGACGCAGTCCGTATATATTGGACCCTGGCTTGCGCAAACTGACACTGTGACGTTTGACTAGACGGATCTCAGTGTTTTAAGATAAATGAACAAACTGTGAATAAATGTAGTGCAGAACGTTCGATTTCAAGATAAAAAGGGTGCAGGCGTTGCGCAACAACAAACTTCATTAGTCTCGTTGCACTATCTCGCATGCTTTGAATTTCTCACCGTTACGTAACGAACCTCCAAGTCCCCGGGTTTTGTCGCCATCGCCATCGCCAATGACGTGTTGAATCTGGAGCTCGTCCACGCTCAGAGTTTAAGGCACGTATGAAAACCTGACCTAAACGACGTCTGGTTATTGGCCTTTACTTTCCAGAACACTTCAGTTGTTCCAAAATGATTGACCAGTGGTAGCTTTCTGAGTTGCCTGGTCCCTCAACACAGCCGCGTGATTCACCTTTCTTCTTCGTCAATATCTTTCATTTCTACCCAATGGTATGCAAATCTCACCACCACAATCATGTCATCCAGCGTCCTTGACCATCCTTTCACACCCAACTTATCAAAACCACGTATCATCTGAGGCTAAATTCTTTCTACAGAAACTCTCGTAGATCATGTTCACCTTTGGTGTTACCGTGTACTCAACCGCATTGACTTTCAAAGGTTTGAGTAACACCGTGAACAACACAGTAACTTGAAACTATACGATTTGAGTCTTAAAAGGAGAGCGGAAAAGTCTACTTTGAGAAAAGTAGCAGAATCAATCATGATGCGATGCTCTATATACACGGACCACTACTGAAC